GATGCTGTTCAGGTATCTGATGCAGTTTAGGATGACCACCTGTTAGCTTTTGTGGTTTGGATGTACCAAGTCACTTCACCTTCAGCTCCAAAGTGTCCACCAGGACCCTCCCTCACTGTCCTTCCATCATTATGAGGATGCCTCTTTTTTTCCCTCCAGTTTTTCCTTCTTTCTTTTCTCAAGTTGTGATCTCGCCAGGGCCTCGCACGGGGTGGCGGTGCCCACGCTGCTGCCCACAGTGCTCAGGGAATCCACCTCTCTTTGCTTGCAGAATCTGCCCGTGTGCTGGCCAGGATTTCCTCCAGGACCTCTCCCCAACTTGATGCCTGCAGCTGAGGACTGTGGGGCTTGCAAGACGTGTTTCTACTTCTTTGTATCCCCTTTTGTCTCTTTCAGTAGGGAGAGGTCATTTTCTTTGCATTTGTCACCCCTTTCATTAAGTTGATTCCCAGGTACTTGATTTTTGGAGGCGCGACTCTAGACGGTATTGCTTCTTAAATTTCTCTCTCTTCTTTTTCATTATTTGCAACTAGGAAAGCCTTGATTCCTAGATGTGGATTTTGTAGTACTGTCCAAGTCTGTTGCTTCTAGGAGCTTCTTTGTGGAGTCTTTAGGTTTTTCTACCCCATGTCCTTTTGAGTAATAGTGGTGTGAGAGCACATTCTTCCCTTATGCCTGATTTTTCTGGAAAAGCTTTTGTTTTTTGCAGTTGAGCATGGTGTTAACTGTTATATGTGGCCTGTACTTTATTGAGGTAAATCCTCCGTTTTATTGATTTTTTTTTTTTTAAATCACAAACGGACACTGAATCTTGCCAAAAGCTTCTCTAGTCCTATTGACGTGATCATACTGTTTTAATCTTACCTTTTTAAGAATGTGGTATATTAGGTGAGTTGATTTGTATGTCAGAATAAATCTCTCCTGTCATGGTATGCCATCCTCTTAATGTGTTAGTAGTTTGGTTTGCTAAGGTTCTGCTTTCAGTATCTTTCTGCTTTGATATCAGCATAATGACTGCCAACTATGATCTCGATCAGTTCTATTTAATTTTTGTTCTGTAGACTTAGTATAAGAGATGTTTGACTGGAGCGGTAGTACAGTGGGTAGGGCTCGTTCCTTGCACCCGCTGTCCTGGGTTCGATCCTTGAGCCCCATATGGTTCCCAACCTTGCCAGGAGTGATCCCTGAGTGCAGTCAGGAGTAAAACCTGAACACCACTGGGTGTGGTCCCTAACCTCTCCCACCCCCCAAAAAAGAATATTGGCAGTGCTTTATGTATATGTGTTAGACATCTATGTAAATCAATGCAGTTTTTTCTTATGTAGATCTTTACCCAATTTGAGACGAAGACTTCACATATCAATTAAAAATGTTCCACAAATACTATTTTAAAATGTATCGGGCTGGAGCGATAGCACAGCGGGTAGGGTGTTCGCCTTACAAGCGGCCAACATGGCTGACCCGAGTTCGATTCCTCTGCCCCTCTCGGAGAGCCCGGCAAGCTACCGAGAGTATTCGATATGCCAGGCTGACTCTACTTGCCATTAATTTTAAGTGTATAAACTATCTCAGAATTCTTTAAAAAATTTTTTTTACTCATAATAATAGTAATAATTGAAAAATTTCAGCTGCTGTGTAGAATGTTAGGTTTTAAATAAGTCTGCTTCACTTAAATATTTAGCCATTACAACTATTTTAAAGGTATGGTGCATTATAAAAGCATTGCCCTGAAATGCAGCCCAGAGCAGCTTGACTTCGGCAGTGCCCTTAGAATGTGAGGTCTTGTATCACCCATCTCAGCCAAATGGGGCTTGGTAGGTTGATGATTAACTTCAGGGGTCAGTTCTAGGCCATATTCTTAATAATCTTAATTTAATATTTCAAAAAGTCCTGTCTTGGACATTCTATTTGGAACAGCTAGGAAGACAAAATAGAAGCCTAAATTATCAAAATGACTCAGACAAACAAGGGTGTGCGAAAAGAGGGAAATATATATATATATATATACACACATACACATATATATATACACACACATATATACTTTTATATATATTTCATGTATATACATATATATACATAAATGTGTATATATATCATCAGTAATCTAATTTGAGGTAAATATCTTGACATCTAGCAATTCTAAGTGACAAGGTTCAGTGTGGATTAGTGAAAGAACATGTATTAGAAGATCAAATAGATTCTTTTGAAAAGTCTCCATATTGTTTTCCAGAGTCTGGGCCAGGAAGCATTCCGACCATAGTCAGAGTGCCTGTCTCATTGCATCTCTGCCCATACTGGTTGTTTCCATTTTTTTTCTTTAATATTTGCCATTCTCAGTGGTGTAAGGTTATACCTCATTGTCATTTTGACTTATATTTCCCTGACAATAAGTGATAGTAAACACTTTTTTATATGCCCCCTGGCCATCTGTATGTCATCTTTTGGTTATTCCCCATTTTTGGTGGGATTGTTGAGTTTTTGTTGTTGTGCTTTCTATATCTTGGCTACTAGCTTTTAGTCCAACTTATTGTATGCAGATATTTTATCTCATTCCATGGAACATCTTTTTAATTTGGCTCAAGTTTCTTTTGAGATGGAGACATTTTAAAATTTGATGTAGTCCCATTTGTTTGTTTTTGCTATCTTTGCCAATGAAGCAAATCATCGACCACACCTCTTGGTACAATAACCAGGGGAAGGAAACAACCCAGGTGTCCAAGGACAGATGAATGGATAAAGAAATTGTGGTATATATAAGCACTGGAATATTAAGCAGATGTAAGAAAAATGACATCGTGATTCACTGCAGAGTGACTGGAACTGGAGAGTATCATGTTAAGTGAAGTAAGTCTAAAGGAGAAGAACGAATACCAGACGATCTTACTCACCTGTGGAGTATAAAGAATAGATAGTATTAAGCAGCAACAAACTTTTGACTGTGGATGAAAAGATAGATGAATAAACAGGAATGAATGGGAGGAATAAAGATTGTAGCAGAGGGGGCTAAGGACAGTGTTGGGGGGTGATGGGCTCCTGGAGGGGATGTAGAGAAACTAACTTTGTGTAACCATGTTACATACGGTGTAATATAAAAACCAAAAGCCAGACAAATTTTGACTCATTAGAGAAACTCAAATTTAAATCCAGATTTATAAATTATTCAAACTCAAATATGAAAAACAAAGGTGCACAATGCATTACTTAGTTTTGTTACCAGTACCCTGGAGGTTGTTTGTATCTGGTGTGGAGATACTCTGTAGCATTGTCCTGTCTAATTCTCTTTTTACTGAAAGGCCTTTGATGCTTGAAAGTGAACTCATGGCAGTATTTACATTGCAGGGGTTTATCGTGATACAGCACACCACATAGCAATCTCCCTCCACTACCCCAACCTGTTGGAATTAGCTCATCTGTATGTAGCAGCCAGTCATTGCTGTGAACTTTGGCATTGCCTACTTTTCTGCTTGCTGCGTGACTGCAGGAAGACTCTGAATTCCTCAGCATTTGGAATTTCCCATCCCTGGCACCGGAAACAGTGCTTGGCATCCACTTGGCAGACAGATGCTTAGAGACTGAATGAGTGGACTTTTTATACATATTCACCCAGACCTTGTCTCCGATCTTTGCTTCATCAGTAATCTGGCTTTGTGGCCTTAGTCTTTGGTTCAATGAAGATAGCCCTGAATGATCATGTGAGCGTTCATGAAAGGATTTAGATTTCTGTCTGGTCTATAGGCAGGTACCAAAAATAGTGCACACTTAGGGTTCTGACTTGGAGGAGAGAGACATAAATACTGTGAGGACCCAGACTGCTGTGTGTAGGGCTTTGTATTAAGTGTTTTACCACAGACTGGATGGGAATCAAAAATGTGGCTCCGTTGTTTTTGTGTGTCCGACTTCTGCCCACACAAAACAGTGGTACATATTAGAAGGAATCTGATATATAAGCGGCAAGAAGCAACCCCTTTGTTATATTTGGCTTGGTTCAGCCTCTTATTACAGTATCATGTCCAGTTGTACGTTCTCATTTTAAAGAGTATTTTATAAAACTGCGTGTAGGGTGTGCTGGGAAGAAACAACAACTGTGATTAAAAAAGAATCGAAATTGGTCCTTTGAGGACAGTTTAAGGAATTGAGTTTATTTGTTCTGGAAAAGAGATGGTAACATAGTTAGTCCACTCTCAGGCACATGAAGGGTTATTTTAAGGAGGATATTCTCATGTTGTTCTGTTAATACACAGAGGCCCAACAGAGGAAATTGACTTACTTCATTCAAAGAAAATTGTGTTAAACACTGAAATTGACTATCAAGGGATGTATGGAATCTTCATTTTTGGAAACATTTTAAAAGAGCAGCAGCAGATGGTTACTTATTGAAAGGTTTAAATGTTTGACCTCATAAGTAACAGGCAGGATTTTCCCCAACATTGCACAATAGTAGCACTGTGGCACTGTCCTCCCGTTGTTCATGGATTTGCTCCAGCGGGCCCAGTAATGTCTCCATTGTGAGACTTGTTGTTACTGTGTTTGGCCTATCGAATACTTCATGGGGAGCTTTCCAGGCTTTGCCGTGCTGGAGAGATACTCTCAGTAGCTTGCCCGGCTCTCCGAGAGGGGCAGAGGAACTGAACCTGGGTTGGCCAGGTCAGCTGTGTGCAAGGCAAACACCCTACTGCTGTGGTATCGCTCCAGCCTTGCACGATAATATTTCTTGTATTTAATTTACCAAATGTATTTCCCAAGCACATATCCCAGGTACCATACTGGGAAGCCAATTATAAATTGATAATATTGCTATTTTGTTTCCTTTGCATCTTCACTGTCAGATTATCATGAATGAAGACATTTAGGATTTTTATCGTGCTAGAAATTAATTTCTTTGACGTTATCTTACATATGTGAAACAGCCCATATTTGTATTTTTCACCCTGCTGGGCATATCAGATTTTCCTGGAGATCATTCACCCGCTGTAAATATCCTTTAACTCTTTTGGCAGGGAGTCATCCTTGTGTATGATATTACAAATTCTCAAAGTTTTGAGAATCTCGAGGACTGGTACACGGTGGTGAAGAAGGTGAGCGAGGAGTCGGAGACGCAGCCGCTTGTTGCCTTGGTGGGCAATAAAAGTAAGTCCCCAGGACCAGCTCATCGCGACTAGGTATACTCTGCCTTCCTAAAAGCTTTTATTCCTAAAGAGTTGACATTGATAAGAGAAACAGGTGCAGCTTTCTGGAGCAAGTGAGTTGCTAAAGTAGAAAGTTCTTCGTGCAGTGCACAGCACCGTTTCAGCTTTCTTTGCTGTGTGGCATTTTTCTCGAGAGGTAAGTTCTGCTCCGACAGTGTGTGTTTTGGCTTCCTGCATCTAAAGTCTATAAGGAAGCATTGTGGACACTTAAGAATGGCAACACAGCTGCAGAGCAACCCAGCCCTTCCCCAGAGGTTCCGGAAGAGTGTTTTTCACTTGGGGAGCCCCGTTCTAGGGAAGTACTGTCCGGGAAAGGAATTCTGTCTCTCAACAACTTCCTTTACTGGATTTTTGACATTTGGTCTGAGTTGTGTGTATATGTACATATTTATATATGTCTACAACATGCACACATAGATACATGTACAAATAATAAATACATTAAAATATATACCAAAATATATATTGCACATATATAATATATATGTGTAATATATATATTTTTGAGACTAGTAGGGGAGGAATAAATGTGTAAAAGTGAGGCTTAAGTAACTTGAGATGTTTCTTGGAATGTGGTGTAGAGCAGGGTTTCCCAGTCTATTTCCCTGCTGGCCCCCGACCCCCTTTCCTTCCTGCCCTCCCCTCCCCTTTGAAATATATTGGGGGTCCTCTCTCTGGTTGAGAAACTCTGGTATAGAGCAAGTAAACATCCTAGGCTGAATTCAGTGTTGGGCTGTTATGTGGTTTCTAGGGTGCAGTTACCTGAAAAAGGAGGCCTTAGTCAGAGCTTTCAAACATGCAATGGATTATGATATGATCTAATTTTCTGAAAGTTTTTTTGGTCAGAAAAAAGAGAAAATGAATTTAAATTATACCATGGAGGGTTAGATCTGAACTGTTTCCTGATTGTAGGCATTGCAGAGCAATACCCAAGTACACTACCAAGAGAATTATCTTCTCCAAGGGTCAGGCCATTTTTGGTCTGTAATTGTTTAGGAAATAGTGCTTCCTGAAGGACCAAACCAAGATTTCTTCATTATGTGGTTTTGCACGCTTAAATGAAGATTTAATAAACCCAAACCTTACTTTCAAACCATTAAAAAGCAGTCAAAGAGTTAAAGGTACAGTTATTATCCTGCATTATAGAAAATATAGTGTTGCATATCACACAGTGATGACTTGGGTAGAATATACAGGATTTTGTTTTAAATATGAGTTAAATTCTTCTCATCCGTTTGTAATTTGAATTGAGTGGATCAGATGCTTTCCAATTCCTTCAGCTCCTCTGATGCAGAGCATAAGTTTAGATGAGATGAGGCTCATGTTCTGAGTCCAGCCTTTTGTTTTATGAGACCATTTCTTAATTGAAATGTTGCAAACGCATTGGCTTATCATATGGTCAAATTTGTGCTTTATTGCAGGTTTTTCATCACCTTTTGGGAAATGACAGAGTAGGGGAAGGATGGTGGCTGGGATTTGTTTTCATTTCTTTCAGGATATAATCTCACTACATTCTGAGTAAGGTGGAGTGGTACCTAATTATATACACTGTGGATGTGTTTATATGATCATCTGAGCATCCCCTATTGGTCTTTGTCAGAGACAGGACATCACACTGGATGGGCACTGGGGCAGTGCTGTGGGGCCATTTCCAGGTTTTAAAAATAAATCTTTAAGTTATATTCATTTATGCAAAGAATTACACAGAATTACATTTGAGAGTTAATAACAAAAGTCGAGTTTTTTTTTTTTTTGCTTAGCTGCAAGCTCTTGTATGGATTTGTAATAGTCTTAGAATGAGATCATATGATAAAATATACAGTCACACAGAAAGCTACGTATTTAAAATGCAGAGGTTAAATACTAACATTTTCCTAGATATTATTTACTGCATAATGTAATACTGGCTTTATTTCATACATAATGAAAGTTCTTACACTTTGTATTTCAAAGTTTTTGTTACATTAGTATAGTAATATGTATTCATTTTCTATTTTTTCAGATACAGTTATGCTCTAAAGCAGGGAAATCATCAAATTTTTTTATTAGAGATAAATCATTCGTTAAAGATAAATCAGTGTGAAATAGGGTGGGAAAGCCTCTAAATGAGAGGATTATGTTTATTATCTAACATAAGCATCTCCAGTCTAAATGTGCTCTTTCTTACTCCTTATTGTATCCAGTTCTTTGTAACATAAACAGAAAGTATTATGTTGAATTTATGTGTGTGTTGTGAAAATATTGGCAGTAACAGCCGACTTTTAGCCCAAGTTGAGTAGGAGAGAAGAAAAATCCAATATAAAGTGTGTGTGTGTGTGTGTGTGTGTGTGTATGTGAGTGTATATATGTATATGTGTGCTTGCATGAAAATATTTCATGCCAGGAATTGTATAATCAGTTTTGAAATTAATTGCTTTTTATTGTTACAGTAAATTCTCATTCACTTGGATTGAGAACAATCTTATAAAGAATGAATTATGGGTTCATATTTTAATGAGAAATTGGGTTTGATTGTGTTTAAAAGAGTAGAGGAGGTTCATGAAATGGCTAGTTAGAGGAACGGGCATGCATTGATGAAATAGACAAAATAGGCAATTAGTAAATTATACTAGAATATGGTATGTAAAGGGTCTATGCAACTTAAAAAAATTCTCTATTCTGATACTAGTTAGTGTTCTTACATAGTACAGAGGTTTTTAGGTCTGTGGGTGTTACTCAGTAGTAGAGTACTTGCCCTGTTTGTGTGACATGCTGGGTTTAATTCCTTACACTGCAAAAAAAAAAAGAAAAAGAAAAGAGGAAAGGTTTTACAATGAAATGTTGAGGCCGGAGTGATAGTACAGAAGGTAGGATGCTTGCTTTGCATGTGGCTGACCCGGGTTTGATTCCTGGTACCATATATAGCCCCTGCAAGTCCTTCCAGGAGTGATCCCTGAGTGCAGAGCCAGGAGTAAGTCCTAAGTGTGGCCTCAAATTAACCCCCCCCCCCCCAAAAAAAATGATGTATTGAGTTCTGGTTAAGATTATAGGACAGTCACTTTAACATGCGAATATGTTCTGTTGGCAGAGCCTGGCAAGCTACCAGTGGCATATTCAATATGCCAAAAACAGTAGCAATAATGGGTCTCATTCCCCTGATCCTGAAAGAGCCTCCAAAATGGCAGCTTTGGGAAAGACGAGTAAGGCTGCTAAAATCTCAGGGCAGGGATGAATGGAGATGTTACTGGCGCCTGCTGGAGTAAATTGCTGAACAACGGGATGACAGTGATACAGTGAATAAGTTCTATATAGTCTTTGCTAATATGCCTACTTTCTTCACTAAACAATAGTGTAATATGAGATAACTTACTTAACATCTTCTTATTCAAACTTTTTTTTTTTTGGTGGGGGGCAGTTGGCTGTGATCAAGGGGCTATGTTTGTGGTTGACCTTGGCGGGGCCAAGGGACCCTGTGTGCTGGGGATGAGCCCAGGCATCCTGCGGTGAATATGTGTGCTCTCGCCTTATAATCCTTTCAGCTTAGGTTTACCTTATCTGGAAACAAATGTCTGAAAGAAATTGTGTAAAATTAAAGATTAAATGAGCTACTGTGTGAAAAGCACTTAGCACTTGGCTTTAAGCATAGTATTCAGCAGTTACTTCTGAATATTCGTGATCATAATAGCCTTTATTATGATCATAATAGCTGGAGCGATAGCACAGTGGTGGGGCATTTGCCTTGCACGTGGCTGGCCCAGCTGAGCTGGGTTCGATTCCTCCGCCCCTCTCAGAGAGCCTGGCAAGCTAATGATAGTGTCTCGCCCGCATTGCAAAGCCTGGCAAGCTCCCCGTGACGTATTCGATATGCCAAACACAGTATCAACAAAGTCTCCAATGGAGACGCTACTGGGCCTGCTCGAGCAAATCCATGAACAACAGGGGGACAGTGCAACAGTGCTACAATAGCCTTTATCACTGTGAACTGGTGCCCAGAGACCCAGCTGAGCAGGCTTGCATGTGGTCTGCACTCAGGGAGCTGGGCTTGAGGGATCTGATCTCATGCCTGAGCACAGAGCCGAGTGGGCGGGGGCGGGGGCACCCTCCAACTGCCAGCACCGCCAGTATGTCTCAACACAAATGAAAACTGCTGACAGAGCTTCACTGCTGCAGATCACAAATTGCAGATTAGTAGAGTCATAATAGGTGTTTTATAAAAGTGACTTGGGGAAGTGGTTCCTAGAGATTTGTTGGCCACCATCCTATTTCATTGTTTCTCTGGTTTTGTATTTTCTTAGATTGTTCTCACACTGTATTCGGTAGGACGGTTCATTCAGCAGACATCCACGAATTTAGCTATGTGTATTCAGTTTGTAATTTCACAAAGGTTGAGCCGTAGAAGTACTTAAGGTGTGACTGGGACCTGCTAACCCAGGTCTCAGTAATTTTTTTTTTCCTCTCCCACCTAAAAATTTCTAAAAACCCAGCTGCCTTTCTTTGGCTCTGATTGTTGACATTTGTAAGTAGGCTTGTATTCAGATCTTCATGAAAGCCCTTCTTTTCTCTAGTGAGCTAAAAATAAGTCCCTGGTATTAGCTTTCAAAGAGGGAAAGAGGGCAAGTCATCTACTTAATAATCCCCGTGTTTCATGGAAATTCTGCTGAATTTAGGTCCGTGCCTGGCGCTCCCAGGAGAGTGACCCGGGCTGCAGTGCCAGCCACATCAGGACCTGGCAGCCATGAGCAACTTGGGGAGTTTGGGAGGCAGCTCCACGCACGGAGGATCTGTTCAGAGATTCTAATAGCGGGGTTCTTGTTTGAGGTCTCATGCTGCCAGCATCAGGCCTGGCCCCACGGAGCCTTAGTGAGCCTGAGCAGTCTTCATCCTGGTCAGCTTGGTTTGGGGTGGTGTGACCTCTGCCGTCTCACACAGCCACTGCCTCTCTTGTAAACTCCTCCGGTCACT